AAATTAAATTGATTAAATTCCAGTGTTGCTTGCGAACTAATTTGAGATCAGTGCAGTTGTGTATTTTCAAAGCGAGGCTGACAAAAATTGAAATTTGAAAAGTTGAATGATATAAAACACGATACGAAAACTCGAGAAAACTGGCAAGAAACACACAAAAAGACGTATAGTTTCAGTAAAAATGTACATGCTTTTTCATGAATATGGTATAGAAGAGAAGCTTTGGAATAAAAACTTTTATGCCTGGCGTTTTGGCTTTGGCTTTGACAAAATCAGTTGCTCCTGACAACGACAAGTTCATGTTCAGATCAGATCAAAAACATATAAAAATGAATCTGTTTTGATTTAATCAACGTTTTTCTACTAAAAGGTCAATGAAAAGGGTATGTTGTTTTTATATTTTTGTATTTTTTCTTGTCGTTTCACGATAATATGCTTGAAAAAATTGTTTTTAATTTAAACACAAACTTTTACTTCGACTTTGTTTACAATATTTATATCAGTGAAGAATGTATGACACAAATGGGTAGAGAATATATTCGTGACTTGTTTTCACTGCTGCATGAATAAATTTTTTTTAAATGGGAAAACATTTATTTTACAATAACTGTTTAAGCTGTAATTTTTCCGCTTTTAAGTGGCCGAATACATGAGCATTTAAAAAATATGTAGTTTTCTCGACGTAACTTTTATACATGTCGAATAATTTTCCGACTTTCAGTCGCATTTCTATCAAAATATTGTCAATTCTGGTGAACATCGTGCTTAGTATGAAGCCTTTAGGGCTTGATACAATTCATTGTTGTATTCTGACTATCGTTAGGCTATGTTTTTCAAGCGTTTTTGGCAGATTTTTTCTTTTAAAAAATTGTTTCACTCCTCAGTTTTTGTCGCGAAAGCCATAGCGGGCAGTTGCATTTCACAGCGGGCAGTTGCGTTTCAGAGCGGGCCGGATGCAAAAAACCGGCCCGCTCTGAAAGGCTCTCAGCCAATCAGATTGCTTCATTTTCACTGATAAAAAATAAAAGAGTGTTATTTAATTTGGTACAATTATATAATACCTGGCCATATAAAGATGTGTGATTCAATGGCTACGTGGCTACGTGGCTACGTGGCTACATCTTGAAATCAAAAGCACCATTTGGAAGAAAACGCAGTTTGACATCCAGCAAAAATAGGTTTTCGAAATGTAAGGTTAGGTTTTAGGATTTTGTTTAGGGGTAGGGTCAGCTTTAGGGTTAGGGTTGGGGTTAGGGTTAAGGTTAGGGTTAGGGGTTAGGTTAGGGTTAAGGTTAGGGTTAAGGTTAGGGTTAGGATTATGATTAAGGTTAGGGTTAGGATTAAGGTTAGGGTTGTGGTTGGGGTTAGGGGTTAGGGGTTATGGTTAGGGTTAGAGAAAGCGTTTTGTTAGGATTAGGTTAGTGTTAGGGTTAGGGGTTAGGGGTTAGGGTTAGGGTTGTGGTTGGGGTTAGGGGTTATGGTTAGGGTTAGAGAAAGCGTTTTGTTAGGATTAGGTTAGGGTTAGGGTTAGGGGTTAGGGGTTAGGGGTTAGGGGTTAGATGTTAGGGTTAGTGTTAGGGTTGGGGTTTGGGGTTGGGGGTTAGGGTTATGGTTAGGGTTATAGAAAGCGTTTTGTTAGGAGTAATGTCAGAGTGGGGTTTAGGATTTGGGTTATTGTTAGGGTTGAAGTTATGGCTAGGTTTTGGGTTGAGGTCAGGGTTATTACAATTGGATTTTTCGTGTATGAAAATAAAATTTTAATTTATTGCATTAATGAGGTAATTAAGGTAATAGTTGAAAAAATTGGAATAATTTAGTTCGAAACTAATCAAGATATGGGGGTATGGAATATCTTTTTAACTTCTGCAATTTCCTTGCATGACTACCTTTAACAGCAGTTGCAGTATAAACACTATATATTTGATGGGTTGTAAAGTTGTTTTGCATCATTTAGGAATACCCAAAAAAGGTCCTCTTGTTTGTGTACATATCTCCACATGAATTCAGCAAAGTATGTCGAATAGTGATATTTTCTTCTTCCGTGAGTTGGTAAGTTGGCTTTCAGTTGGCGCCAGTGACCTTCAATTTTGTTAGTGTTGTCGCCGTCTTTATTCACAAATTCCTTGGAGTGGTTGACAGTTTTATGTACGTATCCATATTTTTCTAGGTTTATGTATCCTTTCCAACAATCAGATATTATAATTGTTCCTGGTAAAATCCACTTTTGAACGAGAGGAATAAGAGTTTTTTCTGATCTGTCCTCAACGCTTTCGATAAAGCATTTTCGAGAGTCTTGTTCAATACCGCCGAAAACCCATTGGCCTTCGACATAGTGACCTCGATGGTATTTGCGTTTACCAACTTTACTTTCGTCTATTTGTACCGTTTTCCCGTCTCCACCAATTTTTTCTGTTTTCTTCTCAATTGTTGCCAGGCAAACCTCTCGACAGAACATTGTCCAGTCAACACCTGTATTTGGGCTTAGTTTTAGTTGAGAGATAATTTGGCTTTGATCGAGACCAATGCACCACCAATACGTGAACTTTAATATTTCAGTCAGCGTCATGTTACTGTTATCGAACCAAGACCCTTTCCGTATACTAGATTCTACTTTGTGCCGTTTTCCATTGACAGCTTTTCGACACTGCCATTTGTAGCCATCGGATCGATCGTTACACGATATTAGGACCATCAAATTCTGGCATTGTGGACACACTACCGACCGGGCTATAATTTCCAATTCTTGCAACCACTTGATAATACATTCATTATTACCAAGATAATTTTCAACGAGTTCGTCATAAGTAAGGTGGCTAGATTTTCTGTCTCTATTGTAGCTGTTTAATATATGGTTATCACACTGTACACTCTTCTCTGTGAATTGCTTGTCAACTGAACTTGCTGTTTGACAGGATACAGTGCGCGTTCGTTTGACAGTATACATGTATGAAAGAACTGCTAATGTGGTATTAAGTCTCGAATTTTATAGCCGTCGACTAGTCACGTTTCTGCTCGTAGATATCATGTCGATAATCTGTTTATTTTAAGGAAAAAGAGATGATAAATTTGCGTACAGTGGTCTTTGGGGAAAATTTGCGGTGCTCCTAATCCGCTAATAAACAATAGATATTAAAATAAGCTGTCTTATTATTTATCGATTGTTCGAATTGCATTATACGGGTCGAAAATTCGACGTATAATTTGAAAGCTTTAACGATGAAGGTCGCGGTTAAGTTGGTACACAGGCGTCGTTTCAAAATTCTGGTGTAATTGTTATTATGGATTCATACTCAAGGGACGTAATTGACACAGAATTGTTAAAAACAGAGTTATGTTTTGCATAAATTGGGCAAAGGGTTTCTGCTTATACACAATGCAACAAAGACCAGTGTTGAAAAGTTTTCTATCATCGAACATGTCTTCTTCTAAGTTGGCAAGAGTTAGCAAGCAGCATGAAAAAACATGGTGCGATTTACACCGGCGTTTGATTTCGGTACCGTTTTCATTTGAAGATGTTTTTACAGAGCCAGTATACGAGTTCATCAAAAACAAATCAATCGCTTTAAGTACATCAATAGGATATATGGTGCCGTGTTTATTGACGACGACTGCGTTTGTGACCGGCTTGAATGGTACCACAGTTTCCAGCAGTACAGATCATAGAACGACTCTTAATCTTTACTCAGTCGTAGTAGGACCGCCAACTACAGGCAAATCGCAAGCGATGAAAGAATGTGCGATGGATCCTTTGATTGCTGTTCGTGACAACAACGACTTAGGGGACTTTGTACTCGAAAGATGTACAACGTCGGCTTTGGTTAAGTGCGTCTCCGACCAGAAGAGAGGAGTTGTTGTTTCGCCTGAAGTGTATGATGTTCTGAACAGAATGTTGAAAAACGAAGAAGAAAATGGGTCTGGCGAGGTTCAAATGCTTTGTGAACTATTCTCGGGTGAGCGGACGTCCTACAAATATGCTACGGAGAAAACGCGTAACATAGGAGAGAACGTGCCATTTGCAATCATAGGCTGTACGCAAGTTCCGTTTGCTGCGCGTTTAATCTGCCGAATGGACCAAGGTCACGGCTTGCTTGATCGTTTCTTGTTTTGGTTTCCAATGTGTCTGAGGCCATCACCACATGAGACCGAAGCAGCAAAAGGGGTGCTAAACCGTATACCAGTTAAGTCATTCACTGACGTTTTTCTTGAGATGTATTCCTTGCATTTGGGCAAAAAGGAGTACAGCTTCACTCAAGCAGCCCGGAAGGTCATTCAGTCTATCGAGACTGAGTTTATTACGGAGTTAAACGAGGCAATAACCGAAGGTATCCCCTCACCAAAGTCCAAAAGAACCGATTTGGTGAAAAGATTGGCGGTCTCGCTCCATGTGTTTACACACATTATTAGCGACCTTGTTGAAGGAAGAAAGCCACGATCCCCTTCTAAAGAGGTGACTTTGGACACTGTAAAGAAGTCTCTTTTAGTTCTGGATTATTGTGAGTCACAGAAACAAATGGTTATTGAGGTAATTAAAATGAACTATATACTTAGTGCTATGAACAAATATACATATACTATTATTATAGTGTGTATTTTGATATCTGTTTTGTTATATTAAGCACAAAGGTGCCAGTTATGCAGTACTATTTGTGGTATCGAGAGATTTTGGATCATGATCATATTTGTTTCATGATTTGTAATTCTAGTTTATTGGAACATTGACGAGCGAGTCTGTGGTTCCTGAGAAGATGCAGCCTACGTTGGAAGAAATCATGATTGGTGTACTTATGTTTCCGGGTCCCGTAGTGACAAAACGGTCCTTTAAACAATCGGCTGGGAGAAAAATACGTGGGATAGTTGACAGCGAGTTTCTCACGGCTTTGGAGAGATTAGAGAAGGATGGTTGTGGAGTTATCAAAAAATTGCGTGCCAGTGTCAATGCTAGAAGAGAAACTGTGGTCTTTGTGAAATTAGAAGAATTGCCTGGAGAAATAGCTTTGGTTTCGCGAGATGAGTACAGAAAAAAATTTCAGTTGCCAATCCACAAGGCTATTTCAGAAGCAACAAAAATACAGCTACAGGAAAAACAATTGCTTCCGAGCAGCTAGGCTATAAGCCCGTTTGTAATACTTTGTGTGCATGTAATAAATAATGTTGGACAGAAAACGTATATATTCTTATTTTTTTTCTTATTTATGCTACTAAGTAGTGTTTTAGCAGTGATTTTATTCTTTTTCGCATGTAGCAATTTAGCCATTTAGCCACGTAGCCACGTAGCCACGTAGCCACGTAGCCACGTAGCCACGTAGCCACGTAGCCACGTAGCCAAGTAGCCAAGTAGCCACGTAGCCACGTAGCCACGTAGCCACGTAGCCAAGTAGCCATGTAGCCATGTAGCATGCATACATGTAGCCAAGTGGTCATCTGGCGATTTAGCCAAGTAGCCAAGTGCTGATCTACAAAGCTTTTATGAGCTGGCCAGGTATTCTATAATTACTCCCTGGTCTTTGTCTTTGATACGAACATTTATTCCCCTAGTTTAATGTTATTTAAGATTCATCCTGTCGTAAGTCGTCTACTAGCAACAAATCGACAATATTTCACTTTAGCGTTGTCTTTGCCGTTACGTTGGCTTCGCATTACTTTTGTTTTAAATACCATGATCGCGTTAAATTAGTTCTTTTTCAGGCCAGTGATATAGCCAAAAGACTTAGCATTAACGTCCTTGTGATTTTACAGAGATATCGCTAGAACTGAGGATTTTAGAAGGCGTTATCTGTACCTTCTCAAAGTTGTAGACAAGATATGTTGTTTACGTGCAACACGTATAAGATTACATAACTCAAAATGATTCGAGCAAAACCGGTCTTTTGTTAAAAGAAAGACTGGTTAATAGAAATTGGTCGTTTTGAGTGATATAATCGTGTGGCGTCATCGATCCGTGTGGTTGAACAATGAAAAACATTGTTGTGAAATTAGCTAAGATAAAATAGCATTTTGTGAGAAAACTGCGGGCTTACCACGCGGGAAGTTTTCGGATTCAAACTCAGCGTGCTTGAAGTGTTAGTTCTCGTAAAAATATTTCAGTTCCAAGACATGCTTAATGAAAGTGAACGATATCAGGACGCAGCAAACGGCCTAAATACTTTGTTGTTTTAATCTTTGTTACACTAAACGTATGCTGCATTGGTTCATTGTGCAATATGTTTTTACTTTTATCGTCGCTTTTGTCTTTGTGTATATACTTTTGTCATGGCTTTTGTCTTTATAATTGTGTATAAAATTATGCCGGATTAACAAGGCGAGAGCTTGACATTTATGTATGCCGAAATACACCAGATGATTTTACTCAATAACACTAGACAATTTTCGTTGCGGGGTCAGTTGTTCATCAAATCAGGATTAGCGCTAACCCTGGGTTAGCGCTAGCAGTGGCGTAGCCAGCTCGATAAGTGGGTGGGGAGATATTCATATATTCGTATTCACAGACCGGTAAAAACAATCAATTTCAAAAGGAATTAATAATGCAGTACACGAATATATGAATATGTCCCCCTCTTATCGAACTGGCTACGCCACTGGTTAAAATTCAATCACCCAAGTGCTATTTTGGTTTGTGTATTTCTGTACGTCTGTGTCTAATGCCAGACGATTTTACTTGTCAAAGGAAAATTGTGGATGTTAATAGGTTAAGTATGGTAATCAAGATTCATTCAGCTGAAGGTTTTTTTATGCTGTAGTTGGTAGTTGCAATATATGCCGAAATGCACCCTACTTTGTTCTTTTATTTTGTCTAATGCCAGATGATTTTATACTCAATAACACTAGACAATTTCACTTCTGCAGCCAAGTGTTTTAAGCAGGATTAGCGCTAACCTTCGGTTAAAATTCAATTACCCACTATTTTGGCGGTGGCGAGCACTAGGGTGGCGATCGAAGGGTGCCCCCCCCCAAATATTTTCTCAAAGCCTTTGAATAATAGCTGATTAATTGAGTAACAAAGCTGTATCATGATTTTACTATCATAAAATCCTTCATAAGCCATAGTAAGTACATGATATTTAAGCCAAAAGGTTTTAAGAATTAAGATTTGCGGCAACAAATGGGTGGTTATATTTTGGCAACCTAATCCCCCAACCCCCAATATTTTGTTAAGTGTCTGCAAAGTACTTATATATGTATTTTCTCTGTAATTTTTAGATTTTGCAAACAGTTCTATTGTGAAGAGTTGCTGACACCCCGGAACCATCGTGTTTACACTGACCAATTTCTAAAAACGGAACTTGTAATTTCCCAAGTTGCTTACCAATAAATTACTGAAGTATATGAAGCACAATGTCAAATTGCTGTTTTTCAAAACCTTGGTTCTTCTCTCATAACTATTTGCGCCCATATTTTTAATTAAATCACGCAGGAAGGAATTCGTTCGTTTTGCAACCAAACACCTGGCATTAATATCACGTGCCTGAAAAATGCATTTGCCTAGGTCTGACTAAGTGATTTGGAACATTTAAGCCGCATGTTTAAAAATAGGTACGCACCTATTTTTAAATTTTACTTCGAAGAAATGACAAAAAGAGATATAAGTTGGGAAATGATTGATGTACGCGTACATGTACGTTGTTTTCGGGTTTTTATACTTACCTCCTAAATTGCCCTATTTCATATTAAAAAGAGCTTATAAATGAAAAAAAAACCTAAAATATTTCCAAGAGTGAAATGTATGACTGAACTGATTTCGTTAGAAGTTAAATAGTTAATTGCCAAAAACTGCCAAACAATTGAAACAACATTGTATATAATATAATATAATACCTCAAATTCAAAATCAAATTGTCCAATCAGAAAGCTCAGTTTGTGGTACGTGAGCATGAAATTAATCGCAACGAACTATGTGTTACCAAAACTAACATAATTTGAAAGACAAAACATCAAAATAGATTAACGTCGTGATATCTGCTGCATAAAATCTAAACATACGACATTCAGAATCGTCCAACTGTTAACGTTGGACACCTTAACACACTACGGTAGAATACTTTTTATAAAAAACTTACCAATGTCACACTATTTATGGTCTGCTTTACTTGGAAATCATCGAGTTACTTAACTTTTTCTTGGCGAGCGGTCCATTTATAATGGTCCATATATGTAACTATGGCGAGATTAGTAAGTGGTCCTACTGCAGGTTGCCGACAGCTTAGAACTAGTCAAAATGCTGGGTTTTGCAGATGGACCGCCTACCATTTCTAATTATATTCATTTTTCAGTATGATGGTGTCAAAATGATTGATGGTTCGAATCCGGATGCTAACCTTCCTGTTCATGCAATGGTGACTATTAAAGGTCTTCTACCAAATAACAAGGACGTTTCAAAGACGGTCGATCTTGACATTGTGTTCATTGTGGATAAAAGTCGGAGTATGGAAGGAAACCGAATGGAAACTATGAAGAATTTAATACTGCACCTGATAAATTCGATATTGAAAGAAAACCATCGTTTAGGTAAAAATATAGACCGATTAATTCGTTACCAATAATTTGCATACATGGGTAATTTATACATCTTGAAATTAGAAAGAAGCCATTAAAGAAAATCTATCACCATTTGAAAAAATTAAAAGAAGTAAGAAAACTTGGAGTCTCGGGGCTGTCCTAAACCTGCCGTTTCAAAAATTTGGCGTTTCGTAAATACAATGGATATAACGTAATAAGAAGGAGGAACTAGTATAGTGTTTTGTTATAATTTGGTGCAGATAATTACTACGGGAAAATAATGTAAATATTTCTAATATTTTTAGAATTTTTGTTTGCTTTCATGTTTCAATTTACAGTTAACGAATCACCGCCAACCGTGATGCTGCGCGCTATGTGAATGTTTACATAACGGGGAGTTAAAAATAGTCATGCACTAAAAAGTATATGCATTAGCTTTATTACAAACAAAAAACTTTAGTACAATCACCCGCTGGTGCTTTGATGAAGATGAAGTCCTGATTCCTGCCCCATCGCCTGCTACGTTCATGCAGTTCGTCGATCCCGATGGAGCAGGATTTTGGCGAACTCGCTATGCGAAAGCCCCGTATTTTCTTTTCGTCCAAAGGACGTACGTTAAACTTGTCAACGACATTCTTTTTTATATACCCTCACTTGTTGGTCTTCCACGAACGTGAAATACAGAAGCCATGAGTACCCATCTGCTTTACAAAATGAGAAAACTTTCTAAAGTCATTGTTTAAGATAAAAACACACGCCAAAATCTCAATCAATGATCTATTAACATATTCCAACTATGGAAAGTATGACATCGTCTAAAGGCTAGTTTACAATCAGGAAAATTATCTGTGGATTGGAACGGACAAGAAAAGTTTTATTTGTGTTAAAGTCATTAGTTCCAACCGAGAGCTCACAACACAAAGAAAATTTTCTTGTCCGTTCCAATCCACGGATAATTTTCCTGAGTGGAAACTAGCCTTAAGAATAATACAGATTAATAAGGATACAATTCGGATGTCACTCTTTCGCAACTAAAGTGGCTAATAAAATGGCAGAATACAAAACAATCAAAACATTTTAGCGCGCAAAGCATCACGGTCGACTGCGATTCTTTAAATTCCTTGTGATGTACCTCAGGAATGAGACTAAAAATTTCGCAGTAAACCGTGCCTGACAAATATTTATGTCCGTAGCATGCAATCGTTTATTCTTACCCTAATGTGTATTTTTGGTGTAGGTGTTGTATCATTTGACGACAAAGCGATTCGCCTCATTGAATTGATGCCAGCAACCAAGAACAACAAAGAACGCGCAAGCAATATCGTAAAGGGAATTAAAACATCGGGTGAGACGAATACCTACGAAGGTTTATTAGTCGTGCTACAGATGGCCTATGAGGGAGGTAGACGAGCCTGTGTCATGCTCTTCACGGACGGTAATCCAAATGTTGGTGTGATAGAGCCAGATGAGATTATTCAAAAGATCATTGCCGAAACGAACGCGCTAAAGGCACGTTCACCTACATCACAAGTTGATTTGCATACTTTCGGTATTTTTGACTATCAAGATCGCCAAGACTTTCTACCGAATCTCGCCGAAAAGGTTGGCGAGGGAAATTACCACAATGTGGACAACAGAACCGATCTAGCGACCGCTTTTGCTTATGTCGTTTCTACCGCTATAAACCAAATTGCCGAAGCTATTCAAATAACTATATCGCCGACATCAGACCGCGTTCAAATTGAAGATGCATTGACACAATTTAGGCAAATAAGAGAAGAAGACCAATTAATTATAAAAATACCTACTTTGGCGGACCAACAGTCTCGACATATTCCACTGAAACTTATCGTGCTTCCTACGAAAGAAAAAGCGAACTACGAAGAACTCCTTCGCGTGGAGATGACGTACAAAAACGTGATCACGCATAGCGAGGAAAAGTGCGACGAGTATCTTTATGTAGCGCGGACACATCACTGGAACGAAGAAAATCCGGACGTCATCGAACAGCATAATCGGGTGAACGTTGCAAAGAAGATGAAACGCGCTTTAAAATATGTAAAAGAAGACAACCGCTACGACACAATAGAGGAATTAAAAGAAGCCGAGGATATTATTCAGGAATCGATAACGAAGGACAGTAGCCTGTCGATGTGTATGCGAAATGAACTAGCAAAACTGATCCTAATGGCCAAAAATAATCTCGAAACGGTTAAAATGCCTTTGGAAGAAAGTGCAAAAAGTCATTGGCATGAAAAAGGGGGGTGGAGTTCATGCTACCTTACCCGCAAAGAAGAGACAATGATTACAGTCGTTAAAAGAAACACAACAACAGATTGATGAATGAGAGTTTTTCAATTAGCGCTATGAAGTCATTACCATGGCAAAAGGTCCATAGCAAAATAAGGGATACTAATTAAAGTTGTTTAGAAATAGAAATTTGTAGAAATCATTCCATCATCTGTTTGAAGCTGTATTCACAATAGAGTTGTCCAAATTTGATTCAATTACTTTGTTAATACTGCAATGTAATACGCATGCATGTATGTTGAAATAGTTAGCACTGAACTTAAGCATGCATTTAATTTTTAATAGTTTTATTTTACTTAGTTAAAACATCTATTATTAAAACATCTTAGTTAAAACATTTAAATACATCTATTATTTAAAACATCTTAGTTAAAACATTTAAATACTGTCAAATCCGACGTGTATAACCTACTATTTTCCAGGTTCTTATTAAGTTGTATTTCATGACCCTGATGTCTGCAGTCTATGAAAATCAAGTACACTGACTCACAGTTATATAGCTATTAATATTATTTTATATTTTTGATACACCCTTTTTTATACACCCTGTATTATGCGGAATTTTACTGTAATTATATACAATGCAATATACTATAGTTTGAATAGTAAGGGTAAAAATGAAATATCTAATCTATGGTATATTTATAATATTATGTACTTATGTTATAATTATTATAGTTACTCAAATACATCGGTTAATTTGCCATAATGTACTGATGATTGGGTTGGAACGTAATAACGGAACTTAATGTGTATTTGAATGAATCTGTTTTCTTACAACTGACATATAGTATATGTCAGTTGTAAGAAAACAGATTCATTCAGGTAATTCCGCAGCAATTGTTCCCGAAATGAAAATGTGCTGAAACTTCCCAGGCATGGAGTTTATGATATACTTAAAGTAAAATCACACAAAAAAGGCGGGGTCACCGAACTCGTTAAGAATATATGACAATCACAATATACCACCTTTATCCTAATATGGCGCCATCTTGACGCTCATTACGAGTAACAGCAAACTCACAACAGCCCAATATTTCTTGACGTTTTTAGCGCGGATTTTGCTTTAGTAAACCTATCTTGTTATTATTTTTGAAAAAATATTGTGTTTTGAGCAAAATGAAACTACTAAGTGTACAATTCTGATCCACAAATGTTTTTTGTACATTTCTTTACATATCTTTCTTTGAGAACATGCATTGATAAAGCATTTTTTTTCAAGATCCAGAAATGATTTTTCTTTTAATTTCGGATATGAAATGTAAAATGCATTACAGAAATAAATTATCAGTTAAAAAACGGGGGTCACCGATCTTTTTAGGGAATTGTGGCACTAAAACGTGAAATACAAGTAAATAAATATACTACAGACACAGGGAACCCTAGCTACACTTTTGCATGTCTTTTTGAAAAACATTGATTTTAACGCAATTCTTTGCACGAATGTAACCAAAGATGTTTTGAAGTAACATAAAATTGTTATAAAATGATATTTTGTTTTAAACGGTACGTATAATGGATGAAATTATAAGTTATAAGATGTGCGCAGTAAAAGTGCGCAATGCAAAACTGCGGAATTACCTTCAGTTAAGAAGGGGGGGGGGGGTCAGGGGCGGATTTAGACCGTTGCAACTGTAGCATATGCTACGGTCAGATTTTCCATAGGCCAGTTCTAACATGGATCATAAAATCAATCTAAAATATAATTTAGCAATATTTTGTTTACTTTCCTTGTTTATATTTCAAGGTTTTTTTTTATTTAGTTTTATATGTTCTAAAACATTTTATTTTGACAAATTGATGACATTTATAATACGTAACGTTAATTG